AACCGACGCACGACACTCACGGGGAGGGACCCCAAAACTCCCCAGAAACTCCCAAAGCCCCCAAAAATCCCCCGGCCCCCTTTACAACACGAGACCACTCACAGCTCGGGGAGGGACCAGATGTGGAGGGCAACCCCACCCCCCCAAAAAGCCCTCCCCTCGGCGCGTCGTGGGGGAGGGGTGGGAGGGGGCAGGAGGGGAGGGCGCCCCTTTATCCCCGTCATGCAACAGCCTCCCCCCTTTGCACCCCCAAAATTTCCTCCCCCTCCCTCCCTTCCATCCCCTCCCCCTCCTTCCCCCCTCCCCACCCCTTCCCCACCCCTCCCCAGCGATTTGGTGGCTTTAGTTTGGAATTTTGGGAGTGGGGGGAGGGGAGGGGGTGTTCTAGGGAGTGGGAGAGGGATTTGAGGGTCCGCCCTCCCCTAAGTGAGGGTGATGGCGGCCGAGGCTTTTCCCCTTCAGCTGCCTCAGGCAGTAGGCAGCTCAAGGCTGCCTGCGGGGGGAGGGGGCGTCTGACCAGGGGGACACCCAAACTATCCCTAGAGACCCCAAAATATTCCACGAGACACCCAAAATATCCCTGAGACCCCCAAAATATCCCTAGAGACACCCCCAAAATATCCCTTGAGACCCCCAAAATATCCACTGAGGCACCCCAAAATATCCCTGAGACCCCAGAAATATGACTGAAACTCCCCCCAAAATATCCCTGAGACCCCCCCAAGAAATATCCCTGACACCCCCAAAATATCCCTAGAGACCCCCAAAATATTCCTGATACACCCCAAAATATTCCTGATACACCCCAAAATATCTCTGAGACACCCTCAAAATATCCCTGAGAACCCCCCAAAATATCCCTGAGACACCCCGTAAATATCCCTGACACCCCAAAAATATCCCTGAGACTCCCCAAAAATATCCCTGAGTACACTCCCAAAATATCATCACTGAGACAGCCCTAAATATCCCTGAGACTTCCCCAAATATCCTGAGACACCCCAAAAATATCCCTGATACACCCCAATATCACTGATAACTTTAAAAAATATCCCTGAGGCCCCCCAAAATACTCAGCACCCCAGAGTACAAATCTGAAAATATGACTGAAACTCCCCCCAAAATATCCACTGAGACCCCAAAATATCCCTGACACCCCCAAAATATCCCTGAGACCCCCAAAATATTCCTAGATACACCCCAAAATATATCCTAGAGACTCCCGAAAAATATCCCTGAGACCCCCAAAATATCCCTGAGAGACCCCCAAAATATCCCTTGAGACCCCCAAAATATCCACCGAGGCACCCCAAAAATATCCCTGAGACTCCACGAAAAATATCCTGAGACTGACCCAAAAAACATCACTCAGAAACCCCAAAATATCCCTGAAGACCCCCCAAAAATATCCCTGACGGACCCCCAAAATATCCCTGAGACACCCCAAAATATTCACTAGAGACAGCCCCAAAATATCCCTGAGACACCCCTGAAAAATATCTCTGGGAACACCCCCCAAAATATCCCTGAGACCCCCCAAAATATCCTCGAGACCCCAAAACATCCCTGAGACCACCCCGTAAAGTATCCCTGACAACCCCAAAAAATATCCCTGAGACCCCAAATATCCGAGACCACCAAAAATATCCCTGAGACTCCCCTAAAAATATCCTGAGACCCCCAAAAATATCTGAGACAGCCCCAAAAATATCTCTGAGACTCCCCAAGAAATATCACAGATACCCCCAAAACTCACTAGAGACCCCCGAAAATATCACTGATAACCCCCAAAATATCCCTGAGACACCCCTGAAAAATATCCTGAGACCCCCAAAATATCCTGAGACACCCCGAAAAATATCCCGGGAGACCCCAAAATATCCTACAAGACACCCCAAAATATCCTAGGAGCCCCCCCCAAAATATCCTAGAGACCCCAAAATATCCTGAGACACCGAAAAATATCCTGAGACCCAAAATATCCTGAGACACCCCAAAAAAATATCCCTAGAGACCCGCCCAAAATATCCTGGGACACCCAAAATATTCCTGGGACTCCCGCGAAAAATATCCTGAGACACCCCAAAAATATCCCACAACACACCCCAAAATATCCTGATACACCCCAAAATATCCTGAGACACCCCAAAATATCCTGAGACACCCCAAAAATATCCCTGAGACACCCCCAAAAATATCCCTGAGACACCCCCAAAATATCCCTAGAATATCCCCAGAAAATATCCCTGAGACACCCCCAAAATATCCCTGAGACACCCCTGAAAAATATCCCTGAGACCCCAGATATCCTAGAGACACCCCAGAAAATATCCTGGAGACCCCAAAATATCCTGAGACCCCAAAATATCCCACAGGACACCCCCAAAAAATATCCCTGAGACCCCCAAAATCCTGATACACCCCCAAAATATCTAAGACCCCCAAAATATCCTGAGGAACCCCAAAATATCCTGGGAAAACCCCAAAATATCCACAAGTACACCCCAAAAATATCCTGATACACCCCAAAATATCACTAAGACAGCCCCAAAATATCCTAGGGGACACCCCAAAATATCCCGAGACTCCCCCAAAAATATCCTAGAGACACCCCAAAATATCCTGAGACCCCCAAAAATATCCCTGAGACCCCCCAAAAATATCCTGATACCCCCAAAATATCAGTGAGACCCCTCAAAAATATCCCGGAGATCCCCCAAAAATCACTGAGACTCCCCAAAAATCACTGATACCCCCAAAAAATCGCTGATACCCCCCAAAAAATCACTGAGACCCCCCCAAAAAATATCATTGATAACCCTCCAAAAATCACTGATACCCCCTCAAATGCCCCAAACTCTCCCCCAAATTCCCCCAAATCCCCCAAATCCCCTCAAATCTCCCCCAGATGCCCCCAAACTCCCCTGGGATCCCCAAATCCCCAAATCCCCCTCAATCCCCCAAATCCCCTCAAATCCCCCAAATGCCTCAAACGCCTCAGTCCCCAAATTCCCCCTGGAATCCCCAAATCCCCCTCCCAGCCCCCAAATTCCCCCAAATCCTCAAACCCCCAAATAGCCTCAAATCCCCCAAATCCCCTCAAATTCCCCAAATGCCCCAAACTCCCCAGCCCCAATTCCCCCTAGGATCCCCAAATCTCCCCAAATCTCCCCTCAGGTCCCAAATTCCCCCTGGGATCCCCAAATTCCCCTGAGATCCCCAAATCCCTCCCAGCCCCCAAATCCCCAAATCCCTCAAATCCCCCAAATCTCCTCAAATCCCAAATCCCCTCAAATGCCCCAAACTCCCCCTCCATCCCCAAATTCCCCCTGAGATCCCCAAATTCCCCCAAATCCCTCAAATCCCCCAAATCCCCTCAAATCCTCCCAGCCCCCAAATCCCCCAAATGCTAAACTCCCCCAGACCCCAAATTCCCCTGGGATCCCAAATCCCCTCCCAGCCCCCAAATCCCCCAAGTCTCCCCCAAATCCCCCAAATCCCTCAAATCCCCCAAATCCCCCAAGTCTCCCCAAATGCCCCAAACTCCCCTCAGCCCCCAAAATTCCCCTGGGATCCCCAAATCCCCCTCAGCCCCAAATCCTCCCCAAATCCCCTCAAATCCCCCAAATCCTCCCTAAATCCCCCAAATTCCCCTGGGATCCCCAAATCCCTCCCAGCCCCCAAATCCCCCCAAATCCTCAAATCCCCACAAATCCCTCAAATCCCCAAGTCTCCCCCAAATCCCCTCAAATCCCCAAATCCCCCAAATCCTTCAAATCCCCCAAATCCCCCAAATGCCCAAATCCCCTCTGGGATCCCCAAATCCCCCAAATCCCCCAAATGCCCCAGTTCCCCAGTCCCCGGGCACCTTCGGGGGCTCAGCCATGGGGGGCTCAGGTCATACATGTGGTACCCCGGTCACAGTCGTCACAGAACAGCAGCTGCTCCTGGGGGGCACAACGGGGGGGCTCTCTGAGGGCTTTGGGGGCCCTGAGGGCTTTGGGGGTCTCTCTGAGGGCTTTGGGGGGCTTGAGGGCTCTGGGGGGGCTTTGGGGGCCCTGAGGGGTTTGGAGTGGGTCCTGGGGAGGCACAGCAGGGGGCTTTGAGGGGCTTTGGGGGGGATTTGGGGGGGCTCTGGGGGATTTGGGGGGGAGGTTGAGGGGTTGGGAAGGAGCCCTGGGAGGATTTGGGAGGCCCTGGGGTCTTTGGGGAGCTCTCCTGAGGGCTTTGGGGGGCTTTGAGGGGCCCTGGGGGACTTGGGGGTTTAGAGGCTGGGGGGGCTCTCACAGGGCTTTGGGGGAGTTGGGGGATTTGAGGGTTTGAGGGGCTTGAGAGGGCTCTCACAGGGCTTTGAGGGGCTTTGGGGGGCCCTGGGGGGTTTGAGGGGGCTCTCACAGGGGCTTGGGGGGGTTTGAGGCGTGAGGAGGCTTTGAGGGGCTCTCTGAGGGCTTTGGGGCTTTTTGGGGCTTTGGGAGTGGCCTTGTGGGGGTTTGCGGAGGTTAGAGGCTTTGGGGGCTTTGGAGGGCTCTCCTGGAGTCTTGGGGGCTTTGGAGGGGTTTGGGGGAGCCTGAGGAGGGTTTGGGGGGCTTTAGGGGTTTGAGGGAGTTGAGGGGTTTGGGAAGCTTGAGGGGACTCTCACAGGGGTTTGGAGGGGCCCTGAGGACTTTGGGGTGCTGGGGGGCTTTGGGAGGCCCTGAGGGGTTTGGGGGCTCTCCTGAGGCTTTGGGGGTTTGGGGTGCCAGGGGCTTTGGGGGGGCTTGAGGGGCCGGGGGGTTTGGGGGGCTCAAGGCTGTTCCAAAGCTGGGGGGGCTTTGGGGGATTTGGTGGGGGGAGGTTTGGAGGTCAGGGGGAGTTTGGGGCTCAGGGTGGTTTTGGGGTCAGGGTGGTTTGGGGGTCAGAGGTGGTTTAGGGGGTTTAGGGGTCAGGGTGGTTTGGAGAGTCAGGGTGGTTTGGGGGGTCAGGATGGTTTGGGGGTGGGTTTGGGGGTCAAGGTGGTTTTGGGGGTCAGGGTGGTTTGGGGGGGTTTGGGGGTCAGGGTGGTTTGGGGGAGGGTGGTTTGGGGGTGTTTGGAAGGGTGTGGGGGGATTTGGGGTGGTTTGGGGGTCAGGGTGGTTTGGGGGTCAGGGGTGGTTTGGGGGTGGGTTTGGGGGGATGGGGTGGGGTTGGGGGTTCAGGGGGGTTTAGGGGGGTGTATTTGGGGTCTCACATCGTTCTCAGCAGTGCCACAGAGGCTGCAGGACTTGCACTCGATGCACTGCCAGCGGTACGGGGGGATGGGATTGGGATGGGGGGATGGGATGGGTCTGGGGGGGGTTTGGGGGTTCAGGGGTGCTGATGGATGTATTTAGGATGTATTTGGGGTCTCACATCGTTCTCAGCGGTGCCACAGAGGCTGCAGGACTTGCACTCGATGCACTGCCAGCGGTACAGGGGGATGGGGTGGGGTTTGGGGTGGGGTTGGGGGATGGGGTGGGTTTGGGGTGGTTTTGTGGGGGATGGGGTGGGTGTCAGGGGTGTCAGGGTTGTATTTAGGGTCTCACATCGTTCTCAGCAGTCCCACAGAGGCTGCAGGACTTGCACTCGATGCACTGCCACCGGTACGTCCGCGCCGCCGCCGCCATGGCCAGAGTGAACTGCAGGCACGACGGGTGCCCTGCGGGGGAGGGGTCAGACGGACACACGGACACACACAGGGACACCAACAGGGACAGGGACACCGACAGGGACAGGGGGACAGGGACACCGACAGGGACAGGGACACACAGACAAACAGGGACACACGGACAGGGACGGGGGAACAGGGACACGGACACCGACAGGGACACCGACAGGGACAGGGGGACAGGGACAGGGACACACAGGGACACCAACAGGGACACACGGACACCAACAGGGACAGGGGAACATGGACAGGGACACACGGACACACAGACAGGGGGACATGGACACCAACAGGGACAAGGACACACAGACAAACAGGGACACACGGACAGGGACGGGGGAACAGGGACACGGACACACAGGGACACCAACATGGACAGGGACACACGGACAGGGACAGGGACACCAACAGGGACACACAGACACCGACAGGGGGACAGGGACACACGGACATGGACACACAGGGACACATGGACACAGGGACAGGGGGACATGGACACCAACAGGGACACCAACAGGGACAGATGGACACACAGGGACACACGGACAGGGACAGGGACACACAGGGACAAAGGGACAGGGACACACACAGGGACACACGGACGCCAACAGGGGAACAGGGACACCAACAGGGACAGGGACACACAGGGACACACGGACAGGGACAGGGACATCAACAGGGACAGGGGGACACAGGGACACACGGGCACCGACAGGGGGACAAGGACACCAACAGGGACACACAGGGACAGATGGACACACAGGGGACACACGGACAGGGACAGGGACACCAACAGGGACACAGGGACAGGGGGACACGGACAGGGACAGGGGGACAGGGACAAACAGGGACACACAGGGACACACGGACAGGGACAGGGGGACATGGACAAGGACACACAGACACACAGGGACACACGGACATCAATAGGGACCCCAAACACGGGCAGGAACCCCAAACACAGAGACCCCAAACATGGACAGGGACCCCAAACACAGAGAGGGACCCCAAACAAATGTCCCTGTGACCTCCCCGTGTCCCTGTGACCCCCCCAAATGTCCCCAAATGTCCCCAAATGTCCCCAAGGTGTCCCCACCTGCCCTCCCGCAGTCAGCGCAGCTCAGCAGCTCCTGTGACCCCCCAAATGTCCCCAAAGTGTCCCCAAATGCCCCCAAATGTCCCCAAACCCCCATACCTGCCCTCCCGCAGTCAGCGCAGCTCAGCAGCTCCTGTGACCCCCAAATGTCCCCAAATGTCCCCAAACCCCCCAAATGTCCCCAAACCCACCTGCCCTCCCGCAGTCAGCGCAGCTCAGCAGCTCCTGTGACCCCCCCAAACCCCCCCAAACCCCCCCAAACCCACCTGCTCTCCCGCAGTCAGCGCAGCTCAGCAGCTCCTGTGACCCCCCAGATGTCCCCAAACGCCCCAAACCCCCAAACCCCCAAACCCACCTGCCCTCCCGCAGTCAGCGCAGCTCAGCAGCTCTTCGGCCCCGTGGTGTTTTGTCCCCCGCGCAGAAGTCGCAGGGACCCTCGGGGGCGGCCCAGAGGCAGGGCAGGCTGGAGGCACCCAAGTGTTAGGGACACCCCCAAGGAAGAGGCACCCCAAAGTGCAGGGACACCCCCCAAAAATGTAGGGACACCCCCTAAAAATGTAGGGGACACCCCCCAAAAAATATAGGGGACACCCCCCCAAAAATGTAGGGGACACCCCCTAAAAGATGTAGGGGACACCCCAAAAGTGTAGGAGACACCCCCCAAAAATGTAGGGACACCCTCCTAAAAATGTACAGGGGACATCCCCTAAAAATGAAGGGGACACCACCGAAAAATGTGCTGGGGACACCCCCTAAAAATGTACAGGGGACACCATCAAAAATGCAGGGACACCCCCCAAAAATGAAGGGAATACCCCCAAAAATGAAGGGACACCCCCCCAAAAATGGAGGGAATACCCCCCAAAATGTGCAGGGGACACCCCCCAAAAATGGAGGGACACCCCTCCCCAAAATGTGCAGGGGACACCTCCCAAAAATAAAGGGGACACCCCCCCAAAATGTACAGGGGACACCCCCTAAAAATGCAGGGGACACCCCCCAAAAGTGTAAGGGACACCCCCCCAAAATGTGCAGGGACACTCCCTAAAAATGTGTAGGGGGCATCCCCCCAAAAAAATGTAGGGACACCCCCAAAAAATGTAGGGGACACCCCCCAGAAATGAAGGGGACACCCCCAAAAAGTGTAGGGACACCCCCTAAAAATGTGCAGGGGACATCCCCCAAAAATGTAGGGGACACCCCCCCTAAAAATGCAGGGGACACCCCCCAAAATGAAGGGACACCCCCCAAAAATAAAGGGACACCCCCCAAAAAATGTAGGGGACACCCCCAAAAATGTGCAGGGGACACCCCCTAAAAATGTAGGGACACCCCCTAAAAATGTAGGGACACCCCAGAAACCCCACAAAAAAAAAACCAAAAACAAATAATTAACCCCCCCCAAAATAAACCCCCCAAAATCCCCAATAACTCCCCCAAATAAACCCTGGGTTTGGGGTGTCAGGGGGTGTTTTGTGGGGTTTTTTTTGGGGGGGTGTCAGGGGTTGTTTTGGGGTGCTTTTGGGGTGGTTTTGGGGTTGTTTTGGGGTTGTTTTGAGGTTGTTTTGGGTATTCAGGGGGTGTTTTGGGGTTGTTTTAGGTATTCAGGGGTGGTTGGGGGGGGGTTGGGTTTTTTTTGGGGTGGTTTTGGGTATTCAGGGATGGTTTTGGGGTTATTTTGGGGTGGTTTTGAGTATTCAGGGGTGGTTTGGGTGTTTTGGGGGTATTTTTGGGTGAGTTTGGGTGTTTTTGGGGTGTTTTTGGGTGTTTTGGGGGTATTTTGGGGTGGTTTGGGTGTTTTGGGGTGGTTTTGGGTGGTTTGGGGGTATTTTGGGGTGGTTTGGGTGTTTTTGGGGTTGTTTTGGGTGGTTTGGGGGTATTTTGGGGTTGTTTTGGGAGTTTTGGGGGTATTTTTCGGTGGTTTGGGGGTATTTTGGGGTGGTTTTGGGTGTTCTGGGGGTATTTTGGGGGAGTTTGGGTGGTTTTGGGGTTGTTTTGGGTGTTTTGGGGGTATTTTGGGGTGAGTTTGGGTGGTTCTGGGGTGGTTTTGGGTGTTCTGGGGGTATTTTGGGTGAGTTTGGGTGTTTTTGGGGTGATTTGGGGGTATTTTGGGGTGGTTTGGGTGTTTTGGGGTTGTTTTGGGTGGTTTGGGGGTTTTTGGGGTTGTTTTGGGTGGTTTGGGGGTATTTTGGGGTGGTTTGGGTGTTTTTGGGGTTGTTTTGGGTGGTTTGGGGGTATTTTGGGTGTTTTCGGGGTATTTTTGGGGTGGTTTGGGGTGTTTTGGGGGTATTTTTGGGTGAGTTTGGGTGGTTTTGGGGTGGTTTTGGGTGTTCTGGGGGTATTTTGGGGTGGTTTTGGGGTATTTTGGGGTGGTTTGGGTGTTTTTGGGGTGGTTTTGGGTGTTTTGGGGGTATTTTGGGGTGAGTTTGGGTGTTTTTGGGGTGGTTTTGGGTGGTTTTGGGGTATTTTGGGGTGGTTTTGGGTGTTTTGGGGGTATTTTGGGGGTATTTTGGGGTGGTTTTGGGGTATTTTGGGGTATTTTTGGGGTGTTTGGGGTGGGGGTTACCTGAGTTCCTGCGCTGGTTTTCGGGGGTCCAGTTGAACTCTTTGTAAAACTCTGGGGAGGAGGAAAAAAAAAGAGGGTGAAGCCCCCTGCCTAACCCCAAAATACCCCCAAAATACCCCCAAATGGGGCAGGGATCCCCAACCCCCCAAATAGGACAGGGACTCCCCAGCCCCCCAAATGGGGCAGGGACCCCCAAACCCCCAGACACCCCCAAATGGGGCAGGGACTCCCAACCCCCAAATGTGTCAGGGACCCCCAAACAGGACAGGGACCCCCAACCCCCAAAACCCCCAAAATGGGGCAGGGACCCCCAAACAGGACAGGGACCCCCAGCCCCAAACCCCCAAATGAGGCAGGGACCCCCAAGCCCCCAAAATGAGGCAGGACCCCCAACCCCCAAATACCCCCAACTCCCCAACCCCCAATGGGTCAGGGACCCCCAAATGGGTCAGGGACCCCCAAATGGGGCAGGGGCGCCCCAACCCCCAAATGGGACAGGGACCCCCAGCCCCCAAATACCCCCAAATAGGACAGGGACCTCCAAGCCCCCAACCCCCAATGGGGCAGGGACCCCCAACCCCCAAATGGGGCAGGGACCCCCCTCAAAACCACTCTAGGACCCCCAAAATGAGGGCAGGGACCCCCAAACCCCCAAATACCCCCAAATGGGGCAGGGACCCCAAATACCCCCAAATGGGGCAGGGACCCCTAAATTGGACAAGGACCCCCAGATAAGACAGGGACCCCCAGCCCCTCCCCAAATGGGTCAGGGACCCCACAAACCCCCTCAACCCCCCAAAGGGTCAGGGACCCCCAAACCCCTAACCCCCCAAATGTGTCAGGGCCCCCGAGCCCCTCACGCCGGTGCTGGCCCCGCCGGTGGGGGTCCACTAGCCCCGGGCTCCTCGCCCTCCTCGTCAGCCAGGTGGGTGTGGGTGTAGTGATAGCTCAGCCCAGGCCGGTTCTTGTAGCGCTTCCCGCAGACTGGGGGAGTCAGGAGGGATTTTAGGGGATTTGAGAGGATTTGGGAGATTTAGAGGGTTTGGGAGTCAGGGGGTATTTTGGGGATTGGGGATTTGGGGGATTTTGAGGTGGGTGTGGGTGTAGTGATAGCTCAGCCCAGGCCGGTTCTTGTAGCGCTTCCCGCAGACTGGGGGGGTTTGGGGGTTTGGGGGTCAGGGGGGTCAGGGGGTCATTTCGGGGTTCGACCCTCCAGCCCCAGCCCCAAAATAAGGGGTGGGGAGGGTGGATTTTGGGGGTTGGGGGGGTTTGGGAGGGTTTGAAGGGGGTTTGGGGGATTTGGGGAGGGTTTGGGGAATTTGAGAGGATTTGGGGGGGTTTGAGGGGTTTGGGGGGAGGTTGGGGGATTTTGGAGGTTTGGGAGGTTTGGGGTGATTTAGGGGGGAGGGTGGATTTTTGGGATTTGGGAGGGTTTGGGGTTGCCCAGGTGGTTCTTGTGGCGCTTCCCACAGACTGGGGGGTTTGGGGGCTCAGGGGGTGGAGTTTCAGGGGTTTGACGCCTCAGCAGCCCCAAAATAGGATTGGGAGGGTGGATTTTGGGGTTTGGGGAGGATTTGGGGAGGTTCTGGGGTTTGAGGGCGTTTGGGGGGATTTTGAGGGGGATTTGGGGGGTTTGGGGGAATTTGGGGGGGGATTTTGGAGGGTTTGGAGGGTTGAGGAGGGTTTGGGGGGATTTGGGGGTTTGGGGAGATTTGGGGGGTTTGGGGGGTTTGGGGGGGATTTGGGGGATTTGGGGGGATTTTGGGGGGTTTGGGGGATGGTTTGGAGGGATTTGGGGGGATTTAGGGGGGTTTAGGGGAGTTTTGGGGGGATTTTGGGAGGATTTAGGGGATTTTGGGGGGGTTTGGGAGGATTTGGGGGATTTAGGGGGATTTGGGAGGGTTTGGGGGATTTGGGGATTTTGGGGGGATTTGGGGGGGATTTGGGGGGTTTGGGGGGATTTGGGGGGTTTAGGGGATTTGGGGGGGGATTTGGGGGATTTGGGAGGATTTGGGGGAGGTTGGGGAGGATTTGGGGGGGTTTGGGGGGATTTTGGGGAGTTTGGGGGGTTTTGGGGAGTTTGGGGGGATTTTGGGGGGGATTGGGGGATTTGGGGGAGTTTAGGGGAATTTGAGGAGGGTTTGGGGGGGATTTAGGGGTTTGGGGGGATTTGGGGGGATTTGGGGATTGGGAGTTTGGGGGGTTTGGGGGGATTTGGGGGGATTTGGAGGGGTTTGGGGGATTTAGGGGGATTTGGGGAGTTTTGAGGGGGTTTGGGGGGGTTTGGGGGTTTTGGGGAGGTTTGGGGGGATTTGGGGGGATTTGGGGGGATTTGGGGAGGATTTGGGGGGGATTTTGGGGGGGATTTGGGGGATTTGGGGAGGGTTTGGGGGGGTTGGGGGGATTTGGGGAGGGTTTGGGGGGATTTTGGGGGATTTGAGGGGATTTGGGGATGGTTTGGGGAGGATTTGGGGGGTTTGGGGGTTGGGGTTGGGGGGATTTTAGGGGATTTGGGGGGGATTTTGGGGGGTCAGGGTGGTTCAGAGGGTCATTCGGCCCCTCAGCTCAGCCCCAGAATCAGGGGTGGGAAGGTTGGATTTTTGGGCTTGTTTTGGGGGTCTTGGGGGTTTTAGGGGGTTGGAAGAGGCTTGGGGTTGTTTTGGGGTTCTTTTGGTCTTATTTAGGGGTTATTTCAGGGTTATTTTGGGGTTATTTTGGGGTTGTTTAAGGGTGATTTTGGGGTAATTTTGGGGTTATTTCGGGCCTGTTTTGGGGGTTATTTTGGGGTTATTTGGGAGTTGTTTTGGGATTATTTTGGGGTTATTTTGGGCTTGTTTTGGGGGTTGTTTTGGGATTATTTCGGGGTTATTTCGGGGCTGTTTTGGGGGTTATTTCAGGGTTATTTTGGGGTTGTTTTGGGGTTATTTTGGGGCTGTTTAGAGGTGGTTTTGGGGTAATTTTGGGGTTATTTCGGGGTTATTTTGGGGTTATTTCAGGGTTATTTTGGGGTTATTTTGGGGTAATTTCGGTGTTGTTTGGGGGTTATTTTGGGATAATTTTGGGGTTATTTTGGGGTTATTTGGGGGTTGTTTCAGGGTTATTTTGGGGTAATTTTACGAGTTATTTTAGGGCTGTTTTGGGGGTTGTTTTGGGGCTGTTTTGGGGTGGTTTTGGGGTATTTTGGGGTTATTTCAGGATTGTTTCAGGGTAATTTTATGGGTTATTTTGGGGTAATTTTGGGGTTATTTCGAGGTAATTTCAGGGCTGTTTTGGGGTTATTTTGGGGTTATTTGGGGGTTATTTGGGGTTATTTCAGGGCTGTTTCGGGCTTATTTCGAGGTAGTTTCAGGGCTGTTTTGGGGCTGTTTTGGGGGTTATTTCGGGGTTGTTTCGGGGTTATTTCAGGGTTATTATGGGGTAATTTTGGGGTTATTTTGGGGTAATTTTGGGGTTATTTCAGGGCTGTTTCGGGGTTGTTTCAGGGTAATTTTGGGGTTATTTTGGGGTTGTTTTGGGGTTGTTTCAGGGTATTTTATGGGTTATTTTGGGGTTATTTTGGGGTAATTTTGGGGTTATTTCGAGGTAACTTCAGGGCTCTTTCGGGGTAATTTTGGGGTTATTTTGGGGCTATTTCGGGATTATTTCAGGGTTATTTGGGGGTTGTTTTGGGGTTATTTCTGGGCTGTTTTGGGGTTATTTTGGGCCTGTTTTGGGGTTGTTTCGGGGTAATTTTATGGGTTATTTTGGGGTTGTTTTGGGGTAATTTTGGGGGTTATTTCGGGGCTGTTTTGAGGGTTATTTTGGAGTAATTTTATGGGTTATTTTGGGGTAATTTCAGGTTAATTTTGGGGTCATTTCAGTTTAATTTTGGGGTTATTTCAGGGTTGTTTCAGGGTTATTTTGGGGTAATTTCAGGTTAATTTTGGGGTCATTTCAGGTTAATTTTGGGGTTATTTCAGGGCTGTTTTCGGGGTTGTTTCAGGGTTATTTTGGGGTAATTTCAGGTTAATTTTGGGGTCGTTTCAGGTGTTTTTGGGGTTGTTTGGGGTCCATGTGCCCCTCACTCACTGTCACACACGTAGGGCTTGTCCCGCTCCTCCAGCACCGACTCCACCCTCCTCTTCATCACCAGCCCCAGCGCCTGGGGGGAGGGGGAGGGGCGGCCTCGGTCAGTCCGGCCCCTCCCCCACCCCGGGGGATCCCAGCGTGCCCCTCCCCCACCCCGGGGGGTCTTAACGTGCCCCTCCCACCCCCGGGGAGTCTTAACGTGCCCCTCCCACCCCGGGGGGTCTTAACGTGTCCCTCCCTCCCCTCCCCCATCCCAGGGGTCCCAGGGTGCCCCTCCCCACCCCGGGGAGTCTCACTGCGCCCTCCCCACCCCGGGGGCTTAACGTGCCCTCCCCGCCGGGGGTCTCACCCTGCCCTTGGCTTTGTTCTTGCGCCGGGGGTCCAGCTCGTCCAGCTCCTCCCCTCCCCCGCGTCGGGGTCGTGCGGGAACTCCGGGGAGGGGCTTCTGGAGGGGGAGGGGCGGTCAGACCCCCCTTTCCATTTTTGGGGGAGGAGAGGCCCCCCTCCTTTCCATTTTTTGGGGTTTTGGGGGATTTGGGGATTTGAGGGGTTCAGACCCCCTTTTCCATTTATTAGGGGTTTTGGGGGGATTTGGGGGATCAGAACCCCCTTTGCCATTTTTGGGGTTTTTGGGGGGATTTGGGGGTTCAGACCCCCTTTTCCATTTTTGGGGATCAGAACCCCCTTTTCCATTTTGGGGGTTTTTGGGGGATTTGGGGGAGGGGGTTGGGGGTTCAGAACCCCCTTTTCCATTTTGGGGGTTTTTGGGGGGGATTTGGGGGAGGGGTTGGGGGTTCCAGAACCCCTTTTCCATATTTTGGGGTTTTTGGGGGGGATTTGGGGGAGGGTTGGGGAGGTTCAGAACCCCCTACTTCCATTTTTGGGGTTTTTGGGGGGGATTTGGGGGAGGAGGGTTGGGGGTTCAGAACCCCCTTTCCATTTTTGGGGTTTTTGGGGAGGATTTGGGGGAGAGGGTTGGGGGTTCAGAACCCTCCTTTTCCATTTTGGGGGTTTTATGGGAGTGGATTTGGCGGAGGATTTGGGGAGGGGGTTGGGGGGACACGAGGATGGACACACAGATGGACAGATGGACACACAGACACACAGGCAGCCCCACCGGTCCCTCCAGCGCGGTCTCGTCGTCTCTGCCGTCCCCGCCCTTCCTGTCCCGCTCCCGTTCCCGTTCCCGATCCCGATCCCTGTCCCGGTCCCGGTCCCGGTCCCGCTCCGGGGGCTCCGCGCTCAGCAGCGCCTCCAGCACCGGCCCCTCGGGCACGGCCCCCTCCTTGCGCAGGGGGGCGTCCAGGTCTGGGGAGAGGGGAGGGGTCTGTCAGGGGGTCCGGGGGGTCCCGGGGGTCCCTCCCCCCTCCCCCCTCGCTCACAGGGCCGCAGCCGGGGCGCCTCCAGGATGTTGAGGCGCCGCTTCTTGCGCCAGCAGCGGGCGGGGTACGAGTACAGCTGGCCTGGGGACAGCCCTGGGGACACGAGGAGAGAGGGGTCAGTGACCCACACACCCCACAGCTGACCCACAGCTGGCCTGGGGACAGCCCTGGGGAGACAGAGGGGTCACTGACCAACACAGCTGACCCACAACTGACCCACTGACCCACAGCTGGCCTGGGGACAGCCCTGGGGACAGGGGGACACCACGGTCAGTGACCCCACAACTGACCCACTGACCCACAGCTGGCCTGGGGACAGCCCTGGGGACAGAGACAGAGGGGTCACTGACCCACACACCCCACAACTGACCCACACACCCCACAGCTGACCCACTGACCCACAGCTGGCCTGGGGACAGCCCTGGAGGGACAGAGGGGTCAGTGACCTGAACCCACTGACCCACAGCCCACTGACCCCACTGACCCACAGCTCACTGACCCACAGCTGGCCTGGGGACAGCCCTGGGGGGACAGCACGGTCAGTGACCGAAAACACTGACCAACAGCTCACTGACCCCACTGACCCACAGCTGGCCTGGGGACAGCCCTGGGGGGACAGAGGGGTCAGTGACCTCACTGACCCACACATCCCTCTAACTGACCCACACACCCCACTGACCCACAGCTGGCCTGGGGACAGCCCTGGGGACACGAGGAGAGAGGGGTCACTGACCCCACTGACCCACACACCCACTGACCCACACCCCACTGACCAACACACCCCACAACTGACCCACACAACTGACCCACACCACTGACCCACACACCCCCACACCCTCCCAGACTGATCCCGACCCCCCTTGACCCTCCCAACTGACCCCAACCCCCTCTGACTCCCCCAAAATGACCCCCTGACCCCCAGCAGATCCCCCAGAGAGACCCCCAAAATGACCCCCCGACCCCCAATCTGACCCCGAGTGACCCCCCAAAATGACTCCTGACCCCCTCAAATGACCCTGACCCCCAATCTGATCCCCAGAGTGACCCCCAAATGACCCTGACCCCCCAAAAATGACCCTGACCCCCAAATGACCTCTGCCCCCCAAAATGACCCTGACCCCGAAAATGATCTGACCCCCAAAATGACCCTGACCTCCTCAAAATGACCCCGACCCCCCAATGACCCTGACCCCCAATCTGACCCCTAGAGTGACCCCCTAAATGACCCTGACCCCCAGCTGACCCCAACCCTCCCAGGGGTCAGGGTGCCATGGGGAGGTCAGGGGTGCCATGGGGGGTCAGGGTCAGTCTGGGAAGGTCAGGAGTGCCATGGGGGTCAGGGTCAGTCGGGGGTCAGGGAGTCAGGAGGGTCAGGAGTGCCATGGGGGTTCAGGGTCGGTTTGGGGGGTCAGGCCAGTGTGGGGGTCAGGTGCCATGGGGGTCAAGTGCCATGGGGGTCAGGTGCCATGGGGGGTCAGGGTCAGTCAGGGGGGTCAGGGTGCCATGGGGGGGGTCAGGGTCAGTGTGGGGGGTCAGGGTGCCATGGGGGTCAGGGTGCCATGGGGGGGTCAGGGTGCCATGGGGGGTCAGGGTCAGTCAGGGGGTCAGGGTCAGGGTGTGGGGGGGTCAGGGTGCCATGGGGGTCAGGTTGCCATGGGGGTCAGGGTCGGTTTGGGGGTCAGGGTCAGTGTGGGAGATCAGGGTGCCATGGGGGGAGTCAGGGTCAGTGTGGGGTCAGGGGGTCGGGGGGTCAGGGTCAGTGTGGGGGGTCAGGGTCAGGTGGGGGGTCAGGGTGCCATGGGGGGTCAGGGTCGGTCGGGGGGGGTCAGGGGGGTCAGGGGTCTCACCGGGCCGTCGGTGGGCTCTCTCCATCCAGATGTAGGAGTTGCTCTGGGGGGCTGGGGGCAGGGTCAGGGTTGGTCCAGGGGGGTCAGGGTGCCATGGGGGGGTCAGGGTGCTGTGGGGGTCAGGGTCAGTCCGGGGGTCAGGGGTCAGGGGTCTCACCAGGACGCCGGTGGGCTCTCTCCATCCAGATGTAGGAGTTGCTCTGGGCCACGCCGGTCTGCGCGTCCAGGAAGGGCAGGCGCAGGGAGCGCTCGGCGCACAAGCGCTGGTTGTAGCTGCGGCAATGCTCCAGCGCCTCGCGGTAAAACTCCTCCCCCAGGCTGCGGGCAGGGGGGCACGACCCCTCCTGAACCCCCAAAAACTGCCCCGGAACCCCCCAGATCCGCCCGAGCCCCCAAATCTGCTCCCGGCCCAGGGTACCCCCAGGAACCCCAAAACCCCCGGGGCATCATCACAGAGCCCGAGGGGTTCCCCCCGAAATGGGGACCCCTCCTGAACCCCCAAAACTGCCCCGGAACCCCCCAGATCCGTCCCGAGCCCCCAAATCTGCCCCGGCCCAGGGTACCCCCCAGGAACCCCCAAAACCCCCGGGGCATCATCACAGAGCCCGAGGGGTTCCCCCCGAAATGGGGACCCCTCCTGACGCCCCCACATCTGCCCGGACCCCCAGATCCGCCCCGGACACCCCAAAATCCGCTCCCGGCCGAGGGTACCCCCAGGAACCCCAAAACCCCAGGGGCATCATCACAGAACCCCCAGCCCCGAGGGGTCACAGAGGGACCCCAGAAATGGGGACCCCTCCTGAATCCCCCAAAACCTGCCCCGGAACCCCCAGATCTGCCCCGAGCCCCCAAATCCGCCCCGACCCCAAAATCCACCCCGGCCCAGGAGTGCCCCACGGGACCCCACCTGGGACCCCAAGCCCCCGAGCATCATCACAGACCCCGAGGGGTTCCCCAGAAATGAGGACCCCTCCTGAACCCCCAAAATCTGCCCTGGACACCCCAAAATCCGCCCCGACCCCCAAATCTGCCCCGGCCCCGGGACCCACCTGGGACCCCAACCCCCCGAGCATCATCACAGACCCCGAGGGGTTCCCCAGAAATGAGGGACCCCTCCTGAACCCCTCAAATCTGCCCCGACCCTCCAAAATCCACCCCCGACCCCCTAAATCTGCTCCCGGTCCAGGGTACCCCCAGGAACCCCCAAGCCCCCAAACCCCCAGCCCCCGAGGGGTTCCCCAGAATGGGGACCCCTCCTGAACCCCCAAATCTGCCCCGGAACCCCCAGATCCGCCCCGGACACCTAAAATCCGCCCCGACCCCCTAAATCCAGCTCCCGGCCCCAGGACTCCACCTGGAACCCCAAAGCCTGCCCCGGGGCATCATCACAGACCCCCCACAGCCCCGAGGGGTCACAGAGGGACCCCAGAAATGGGGACCCCTCCTGAACCCTCCAAAATCTGTCCCGACCCTCCCAGATCTGCCCTGGGGGTCTCGGGAGGTCTGGGGTCCAGGCCTCCTCGGGGGGTCTCAGGGAGGTCTCAGGGGTTTCAGGGTCCAGTCCCCTCGGGGTCTCAGGGGGTCCCGGGGGTCTGAGGTCGGTCCCCTCAGGGGGGTCCGAGGGGTTTCAGGGTCCAGGTCCCCTCAGGGGTCTCAGGGGGTCTCGGGGTTTCGAGTCGGTCCCCTCGGGGGTCCTGGGGGAGTCTGAGGTCAGGCTCGGGGGTCCGGGGGGTCTGGGGTCAGTACCTCGGGGGGTCCCGGGGGGTCTCCGGGGGTTGGGGTCCGGTCTCGGGGGTCTCAGGGGTCCCGGGGGTCCCGGGGATTTCAGGGTCAGTCCCTCAGGGATTCCGGGGCGGGGAGTCGGGGTGAGGCGGGTCTGGCCGGCCGGTGGGTCCTCCCGCCCCCGCCCGGACCGACAGAGGGGGCGGCACCGGGAACGGGGACGGGAACAGGAAAGGGACAGGAGCAGGGAAAGGGACGGGGACAGGAGGGACGGGGAGAGGGACAGGGGACAGGGGAGAGGGACAGGGACGAGGGAGAGGGACGGGGACAGGGAGAGGGGACAGGGACAGGGGAGAGGACAGGGGACGGGGAGAGGGACAGGGACGGGGAGAGGGACGGGGACGGGGAGAGGGACAGGGACAGGAACAGGGACAGGGACGGGAACAGGGGACAGGGACGGGAGAGGGGACAGGGACAGGGGAGAGGGACGGTGACAGGGACCGGGACGGGAACGGGAGAGGGATGAGAAACGGGACGGGAACGGGAGAGGGAACAGGGACAGGGACGGGAACGGGGACGGGGACAGGGACGGGGAGAGGGATGAGAAACGGGACGGGGACAGGGATAGGGACAGGGACGGGGATGGGGACAGGGATGGGGATAGGGACGGGGACAGGGAGAGGGAACAGGGACAGGGACGGGGACAGGGACAGGAACATCGACCGGTACAAGGATGAGAACGGGAACAGGGACAGAGGACGGGAACCGGGACAGGGACAGGGATGAGAACGGGAACCGGGACAGAGGACGGGAACTGGGATGGGGACAGGGATGAGAACCAGGACAGGGCCCGGGACGGACACCGGGACGGACATCGGGACAGGGCCCCGGGCCTTTCCTGCCCACACCGCGGGGTCGCTCCAGGTAAGCTCCCCTCCCCCACCCCAGCCGGTGCCGGGAGCTCCATTCCCGGTAGGTCCCTCCCTGCCTGTACCGGAGCTCCATCCCTGCCGGTACCGGGGCCTCATCCCCGCCATCCCCACGGGCTCCATCCCTGCCGGCACCGGTAGGTCCCTCCCTGCCTGTACTGGAGCTCCATCCCTGCCTGTATCGGAGCTCCATTCCCGGTAGGTCCCTCCCTGCCGGGGCCGGGAGCTCCATCCCCGGGAGCTCCATCCCTGCCGGCACCGGCTCTCCATCCCCAGTAGGTCCCTCCCTGCCGGTACCGGAGCTCCATCCCTGTCTGTACCGGGGCCTCATCCCCGCCATCCCCACGGGCTCCATCCCTGCCGGCACCGGAGCTCCATCCCTGTCTGTACCGGGGCCTCATCCCCGCCATCCCCACGGGCTCCATCCCTGCCGGCACCGGAGCTCCATCCCTGCCTGTACCCGGGGTCCCTCCCTGCCGGTACCGGGGCTCCATCCCCGGGAGCTCCATCCCTGCCTGTACCGGGGACTCCATCCTTTCTGGTACCGGAGCTCCATCCTCGCCAGTACCGGAGGTCCATTCTGCCGGTCCCGGAGCTCCATTCCCGGTAGGTCCCTCCCTGCCTGTACCGGGAGCTCCATTCCCGGTAGGTCCCTCCCTGCCTGTACCGGAGCTCCCTCCCTACCTATACCGGGGGTCTCTCCCTGCCCATACCGGAGCTCCCTCCCTACCTATACCGGGGGTCTCTCCCTGCCTGTACCGGGGGTCTCTCCCTGCCTGTACCGGGGCCTCATCCCCGCCATCCCCACGGGCTCCATCCCTGCCGGTACCGGAGCTCCCTCCCTACCTATACCGGGGGTCCCTCCCTGCCTGTACCGGGGGTCCCTCCCTACCTATACCGGGGCTCCATCCTGCCGGTACCGGGGGTCCCTCCCTGCCTATACCGGAGCTCCCTCCCTGCCCGTACCGGAGCTCCATCCCTGCCTATACCGGGGGTCCCTCCTGCCTGTACCGGGGGTCCCTCCCTGCCTATACCGGGGGTCCCTCCCTGCCCGTACCGGGGGTCCCTCCCTGCCCGTACCGGGGGTCCATCCCTGCCGGCACCGGGGGTCCCTCCTGCCGGTCCCGGGGGTCCCTCCTGCCCGTGCCCCCCCCCGGCGCCCCCCACTCACCATTTGAGGGGTTTGTGCAGAGCCGTGGCCATTTTGCGCCGCCGGGGCCGCTCCGCGCTCGGGGAGGGGGCGGCGGGGGTTCAGCCCCCCCCCTCCTCACACCTCCCCCCCCCACCGCCCCCCTCCCCCGTTCCGATCTGCCCCCCTCCCCTCCTCCCGGCCCGAGGTCGCTGCGATGGCTCCGGGACCCCGACCCCAGGCCGCTCGGTGCCCCCGGAGCCGCCGGTGGCAGGAAGGAGGAGGAGGAGGGCAGAGGAGAGGGCGAGGCTCCATCTCCAGCAGCCCGCCCGCCCCTCCCCCGCCACCGCCAGAGGGGAGGGGCGTCAATCAACGCCCCTGAGGGGGGGGCTGCGACCACCCCCATTCATTGCAGACCCAGCCCCCAGCCCCGGGAGGAGCGCCAAAATCCCTCCCCCAGAGATCCCCAAAATCCCCAAAATCCCCCACAGGACCCCTAAAATCTCCCCCAAAAATCCCCCAAAATCCCAAAATCTCCCCCAAAATCCCGCCCAAGACCCCAAAATCTCCCCAAAAATCCCCCAAAATCCCCAAAATCTCCCCCAAAAATCCCCCCAAGACCCCAAAATCTCCCCAAAAAATCTCCCCCAAGACCCCCAAAATCTCCCCCAAAATCCCCCAAGACCCCAAAATCTCCCCAAAAATCCCCCGGACCCCAAAATCTCTCCCAAAAATCCCCAGAGACCCCCAAAATCCCCCCAGGACCCCCAAAATCTCACCCCAAAATCCTGCACAAGACCCCAAAAATCTCCTAAAATCCCTCCCAGTACCCCCAAAAATCTCCCCAAGACCCCAAAATCTCCCCCAAATCCCTCCCAGGACCCCCAAAATCCCCCCAGGACCCTAAAATCTCACCCCAAAAATCCCCCAAGACCCCAAAATCTCCCAAAATCTCCCCCAAAATCCCCCAAGACCCCAAAATCTCCCCAAAATCCCCCAAGACCCCAAAATCTCCCCAAAAATCCCCCAGGACCCCAAATCTCCCCAAAATTCTCCCCAAGACCCCAAAATCTCCCCCAAAATCCCCCCAAGACCCCCAAAATCTCCCCCAAAATCCCCCAAGACCCCCAAAATCTCCCCCAAAATCCCCCAAGATCCCCAAAATCTCCCCCAAAATCTCCCCCAAAATCTCCCCCAAAATCCCCCAAGACCCCAAAAATCTCCCCCAAAAATCCCCCAGGACCCCAAAATCTCCCCAAAAATCCCCCCAGGATCCCTCCTAAGACCCCAAAAATCTCCCCAAAAAATCCCCCAGGACCCCCAAAATCTCCCCAAAATCCCCCCAGGATCCCTCCTAAGATCCCCAAAATCTCCCCCAAAAATCCCCCTAGACCCCAAAATCTCCCCAAAATCCCCCCAAGACCCCAAAATCTCCCCCAAAATCTCCCCCAAAATCCCCCAAATTCCCCCAAGACCCCCAAAATCCTCCTCAAATCCCCCAAAGCCCCCAAATCCCCCAACCCCCAAATCCCCCAAATTCCCCAAAATCCCAAATCCCCAAAGCCTCCAAAATTCCCCAAAATCCTCCCCAAAATCCTCCTAAAATCCCCCAAATTCCCCAAATCCTCCAAGACCCCCAAATCCCCCAAATCCCCCCCAAATCCCCCAAATCCCCCAAAATTCCCCCAAATCCTCCCCAAATCCCCCAAATACCCCCAAATCCTGAGCCTCCAAATCCCCCAAAATCACCCTGAGACCCCCAAATTCCCCCAAATCCTTCAGAGCCCCAACTCCCCCAAAGCCCCTAAAATCCCCCAAATCCCCCCCAAATCCCTCCAGATCCCCCAAATCCTCCCCAAATCCCCCCAAATCCTTCAGGTCCCCCAAAATCCTCCCCCAAATCCCCCCAAATCGCCCCCAAATCCTTCAGAGCCCCCAAAATCCTCCCCAAATCCCCCAAATTCCCCAAAATCCCTTCAGAGTCCCCCAACTCCCCCCCAAATCCCTCAGACCCCCAAAAATCCCCAAAATCCCCCCAACTCCCCCAAATCCCTCCAGATCCCCCAAATCCCCCAAATCCCCCAAAATCCCCCAGATCCCCTAAATCCTCCCCAAATCCCCCTAAAATCCCTCCAGATCCCCCAAATCCCCCCCAAAATCCTCGAGACCCCCAAAATCCCCCAAATCCCCCAAATCCCCCTAAATTCCCTCAAATCCTCCAGATCCCCCAAAATCTCTCCAGACCCCCAAATCCCCCAAATCCCCCAAAATCCCCCAAATCCCCCAAATCCCTCCAAATCCCCAAAATTCTCCCCAAATCCCCCAAATCCCCCAAATCCCCCAAAATCCCCCAAGGCGCAGCCGCGGCCCCTTTAAGGCCCCCCCTCCCCCCGTGGTTTCCATGGCAACGGCCGCGAAAAATGGGGAAAAACTCCGGGAAATTGGGAAAAAAACCACCCAAAAATAAAAACCCCAACCCGGCGGATCTTTGGGATTTTATTTGGGATTTTTTTCCTTATTTTACGGGTTTTTACCAGTTTTGGTTTGGACTATTTGGTGTTTTTTAGGCTTTGTGTGTTTTATTTTATTTAATATTTATTGTGTTTTCTTTATTTTACATTTCTTTTATTTGTTTTATTTGTATTTTTATTTATAATTATTTCTGTATTTTATTCATAATTATTTGTATTTATTTTCCTTATTTTAGGTTTGAGGGCTTTACGTGTGGCTCTAATTTATTTTTTATTATTTTATATTTGTTGTGTTTTCTTTATTTTACATTTCTTTTATTTGTATTTATTTTTATTTATAATTATTTGTGCATTTTATTCATCATTATTTGTATTTATTTTCCTTATTTTAGGATTGAGGGGCTTTACACGTGGTTCTAATTTATTTTATTATTTTAATATTTATCGTATTATTCTCATTTTATATTTATTTGTGTTTCTTTGTATTTTTATTTATAATTATTTGTGCATTTTATTCATAATTATTTGTATTTATTTTCCTTATTTTAGGTTTGAGGGCTTTACAGGTGGCTCTAATTTATTTTATTATTTTATATTTCATTTATTTATATTTCTTTTATTAATTATTTGTATTTATTTATAATCATTTGTGTATTTTATTCATAATTATTCGTATTTATTTTCCCTATTTTAGGTTTGAGGGCTTTACATGTGGCTCTAATTTATTTTATTATTTTAATCTGATTTTTTTTCACATTTTTATGCGAATTTTCAGATGTTTTTTCACGTTTTATATTTCCTATTTTCTATTTTATGAATTTTAGATATTTTATCTTCTATTTGTTATTTTCTGTATATTTTTGCCTTTCATATTTTATATTCTAATTTCACATTTCCTTTTTCCATTCCACTTTTCATTTTCTATTTTTATTCTGAATTTTCTGTTTTATTCCCATTTTTATACCTTACATTTACTACTCTGTTTTCAATTATTATCTATTTTTTAGGTTGTATTTTCTGGTTTTCTATTTTCTATTTTATTTTTTATGTCTTATATTCTACTTTTATATTTTCTTTTGAACATTTTCTATTTTTATTTTTTATTTTCTGTTTTAATTTTCCCCATTTTTTCGCTTTTTATATTATATATTTAATATTCATTTATATTTAATATATATAAATGTATATATTTAATATAACTTCAACTTTATTTTTATATTTTTCTTTTTCTACTTAATATTAACTATTTTAATATTTATTTTAATTTACTTTTTCCATATTTTTATTTGCATATTTTCCTGTCAATTTTTATATTTTATTTTTTACATTTTATATTTTATTTCCTAATTTTATTTTTTATTTCCAGGGGTTTTTTCTTATTTTTTTTTTTATATTTCATATTTTATTTTCAATGTTTCTACACTTCTATATTTTATTTTATATTTTTATTTTTTTGTTTTGTATAATTATATTTTCAAATTTGTATTTTCTTGCATTTTATATTTCATTTTCTTTACTCTCTCTTTCCTATTTTTACTTTTTCCTATTTTTCCGTTTTCTATTTAATTTTCAGTTTTCTATTTTTCCATTTCGTATTTTATTTCCCAGGTTTAATTTTTTTACCTTCTCACATATTTTTAAATTTCATTTTTTCATTTTACAACTTAAATTTTCTCCTTTTTCCTCCTAAAACGTTTCATTTTACTTTATTATTCTATAGATTTATTTTTTATATTTTATAATTTCTAAATTTTTTTACATTTTACATTTTTCTATTTTTTTATTTTTCTATTTTAAAAATATTTAATATTTTATATTTTTAATTGTTTTTTACATTTTACAATTTTTTATTTTTCTATTTTTATTTTTCTATTTTTTAAATATTTATATTTAATATTTTTAATTGTTTTTAAATTTTACATTTTTCTATTTTTTTATTTTTCTATTTTAAAAATATTTAATATTTTATATTTTTAATTGTTTTTTACATTTTATAATTTTATTCTTTCTATTTTTATTTTTCTATTTTTAAAATATTTAATATTTTGCATTTTTTAATTTTGTTTTTTAAATTTTACAACTTTTTTTTCCTTTCCTTTTTTTTATTTTTATATAAATATTTTTATACTTTATAGTATCCATTTTACACTTTTACACCTTTTATCACTTCTATGTTTAAATTTTATTTTTATGTGTTTTTTCTTTTTATATTTTCTATTTTATCTTTACATTTATATATTTTTATATTTATATTTTTATATTTTATATTTTTCATATTTTATATTAATTTTATACTTT